AGAAGGCTGGCAGTTCAAACCTACCAGCCACTCCTTGGAAGGAAGATGGGGCAATCTACTTCCGTAGTGATACTGCCTTGGAAACCCAAGGAGGAGTCACTATGAGTCGGATCTGACTCCATGACACATAACAACAACAACAACAACTTTCCCAGTCTTCTTTCTCAGTCTTGGGTTCTACTTTCTAATGACTACAGAATAGTATTCTTTACATATATGTATATGTATATCATAGTTTTCTTAACCATTTCTTTCACTCTTTTTTGAAATTAAGATTGCTCTAATATAAGTCGGGGCTGACTCGACGGCATACAACAACAAACAACAACAACAGTCTTATCCAGTTATCATAAATAATAATGCAATAAATATTTTTATGCAAAGAGCTACTTTCTTCATTTGAACATTTCCTTAGAATCTATTTTCAGGGGTAAAATTTCTGGCCAATAAGTATGCATTAAAGCCACATGATTTTGAAATTACTGGTGTTAACCATTCAAAAAACTATGTATTTAAATGTAACTTTTATAAACCTAATATGCTATATTTCAAATCATATACCCAGATAACTACTATTCTCTCACAAAAGCAATTCTAGCACCATTTGCAATACATAACAAACCTGTAAGTAGGAAAATACTGTTCTTGTCTTAAAACAAAATTTTTGTAAAATATGTTTCATTTTGTCCTAAAAATAGTGTGCCTATTTCCATGTATTTAAAACATTCTAACACTTAAAAAATTGATTACCATCTTAACTGACATTGTAATGCCTGACAAACTGGTTGGTCTAATTTCATTGCTTTCTTATGTTAAAATATGGATGCTGTTCTTGTGTGCTGTTGAGTCTATTTAGAGCATACTGACCCTGTGTGACAGAGTAGAACTGCCCCATGGGGTTTTCTAGACTATAATTTTTATGGGAGCAGATCACCAGGTCTTTCTCCCTCAAAGCTGCTAGGAAGTTTAGAACTGCCCACTTTTCTGTTAGCAGCTGAGCACTTAGCTGTTGTGCCACCAGGGCCCCTAAAATATAGCTACAACCTTAAAAATAAATTGTTCATTAATATAAAGCAATGTACTTTTAAAGTATCACCTTTTAGTTATCATCATTAAAATTCTACTAGCTTAGTTCCTTCAAGTTAATCCACCGCATAAATCTTTTAAATTAATTATACCTTTGACAATTTTGAAAATCGGACTATTCCTATAAGCATATATGGATGGCTTCCTTAATTCTATAGACTTGTGTGTCAAGAACTTGTGTTCACGGCTGTATCAGCTAGTATATTCTTGCTTTTAGCCATCTTTTCCAATATGTCTTTTCCTTACTTCCATATCTTTTAAAATAAACTTTTATTTCCCTCAATTATCTGTCTTCTATACTGTTCATTTATTTAAAATATTTGTCCACCAGAGAAATATGTCCCACTAATATTTATTTACGAGGGTGCATGTGTGTCCTTCTGTTGTTCTGGTTTTGGCATTAAGCTTGGCGATGCACCTCAACTTTTTTATCTTTGAAATGAATAAGTTTGACAAGACGATAAGATCTTTCCCCCTCAAGGAATCCACACTTCCACAAATATATTTGTTACTATGTAAAGAAACCTGTCATCGACTATACACATTTACTTGTCAGAGAACTGTGACAACTACATTTGTCGGTTAGTTCTCTTGTGTCTCAGCTATGTAAAAACAATAATGATAACAATTCAATTTCATTTTGTAGATCAGTAGACTGAAACCCACAGATATTGAATGATTTCTTAATGTCACAAATAGGTAAAAAGAAAAAACAGAATGGAAATTTTGATTCCCATTCTTTATTGCGTAAAAGATTACTGTCATGGCCTAAGTTGCTAAAAGTCATCATCCTCATTTTGTTCCTCAGGCAAGTTTTTATACTCTCTAAGGAGCTCTGGTAGCATAGTGCCTAAGGCCCTTGACTGCTAACCAGAAGGCTGGCGGTTCAACCTACCAGCCACTCCTCGGAAGGAAGATGGGGCAATCTACTTCCGCAGTGATACTGCCTCGGAAACCCAAGGAGGGGTTGCTATGAGTCGGGTCCGACTCGACTGCACATAACAACAACAACAATGGATAATCAAGGAAATTATCCCAGGAGACTCTTTGCCTTTCTTCTCTGGTGTTATAACCAAGACTTCCAACCAGTTCATTGGGGTTTGACCCCTTGCTGAGAATTTGCATTTCCATCTCCAGATATACTGAATCATAGTCTACATTTTAGTAAGATACTTACAGATCCCCAAGTGATTCCTATGTATACCTGGGGATCTGCAAGAATCACCTGGGGATCTTGTTAAAATGTAGATCCTATTTCAGTATGCACAGACCCTGAGGAAGGAGCTCTGTGACGTCTCTGCACTCTACTGCCACCTAACGGTGAGCAATGACAGCAAGAAGCTAAAGTTGTTTCTGCCTTTGGCCAGTTCTCACCAAGTTCAGCCAGCCGGAATTCATTTAAAAAGGACATTCTAAAGACCGTAGAGGAGCTCTGGTAGCATAGTGCCTAAGGCACTTGACTGCTAACCAGGAGGCTGGTGGTTCAAACCCACCAGCCACTCCTCGGAAGGAAGGTTGGGCAATCCTACTTCCGTAGTGATAACTGCCTCGGAAACCCAAGGAGGGGTCGCTAGGAGTCGGGGCCCGACTCGATGGCAAATAACAACAACAACAAAGACCGTAGGGCCAATAATGTGGAATAGATATTCAACCACTTTTCTGACCATGTTCTTCCTTTCCTATGATTTAAAGTCTTGTCAAGGAATCACTCTTTACGCACAGGTCATGTTCATTTCTTTTTAAAACTATCTACTTTGGTATTTCTAATACTCATAACATCTTAGCAATTTGTGATCAAAATAGAACAGTATATATTTGTGACTTTCAGAGAAGCTTACATGAACTGTGAATTTAAGAAGCTGCTTTTCAAGTTAACACATTACAGTCAGTGTGCTGGAAATTTCGATT